CATTGTCTTTTGGGGTTGGGCCTGTCATGAGGTTAACCTGCTGACTCCCCCATGGGGTAGACCTGCTGCCCTGGCCATGGGGTGGACCTCTTCACCCCACTGCAGTAGAACTGTTGACCCTACTGCAGGTAGACCTGGTGACCCCACCATGGGGCAGATCTGGTGGCCCCACCAAGGGGTAGGCCACCATTGGGTAGACCTGTTGACCCCACTACAGTAGACCTGGTGACCCCACCATGGGGCAGATCTGGTGGCCCCACCAAGGGGTAGGCCACCATTGGGTAGACCTGTTGACCCCACTACAGTAGACCTGGTGACCCCACCATGGGGCAGATCTGGTGGCCCCACCAAGGGGTAGGCCACCATTGGGTAGACCTGTTGACCCCACTACAGTAGACCTGGTGACCCCACCATGGGGCAGATCTGGTGGCCCCACCAAGGGGTAGGCCACCATTGGGTAGACCTGTTGACCCCACTACAGTAGACCTGGTGACCCCACCATGGGGTAGACCACTATGAGGTGGACCTGGTGACCCCACTGCAGTAGATCTGATGACCCCACCATGGGGCAGACCCATTGGCTGTTTTGGGGTCACCAAGGCCCTTTGCCCCACCAGGGCGGGGACAAAACCCAGCTCGGTGTCCCCCTCGCCCACCTTGGAAGACCCTGGACCCAGACCCTCCTCCTGGATGCCACCATCCCGGCCCCAACTCCATGGGCCACCGTGTGACCACGGGAGGACTTACCCTTCCCAGAGGGGGAGAAATTTCCCCGTGACTCAGCGGGAGCAGAAGGGGCCAAATTTCTCCACCTGGGGTAAGCTGGCAGCAGATCAGGAGTGTTTCACCTCCCCCCACAGGGGATGTCCACGTGGACACGCTGGAATCACCCGCTGGAGGCCAAATCCGCACGGAGCCGAGGCCTCTGTTTCACCCGGCGGGGTGGAGAGGACACGGATATTCCCACCTCCACGAAGGTCCTCATGGTCCCATCTTGGTGGTGGGGTGGGATGGAGAGCGGCGCCAGCGCAGCGTCACCGCCACGTGGCCGTAGAACGTTGGTGGGGCTGCGAAAAACATCTCGAGGTCTTCACCGGTGCAAGAGGAGACCCGGCAAGGTGACACCGGCACGTGTTGTCCCCCGTGGCAGGGAGCCACGCCGGTCACCTTGCGCAAGGTGTCACCCTCCCTCTTCCGCCACGTGGTGGAGGCCCGGCGCGTTGGAGGGTGTGGGCCTCGTCTGGCCGCCGCGGTGGGGCAAGAGGTTTTGGACCAGGTCCAAGTCGACGAGGAGGTGGAGGAGGAATCGCTCGGCGTTGCCGGGGCCGCTGGTGGCCACCGGTGATCTCCAGCTCTCACGGGAAGGTCGGAGCACCTTTCGCCGGCCCGTGGAGAGGTTTGACTTGGAGGGTCTCACGTTGGTGGCCATCAGGCGTGGTGGGCTCTAGCTCAGGTAACTGCAGCCCGTCCATCAGTCATGGAGGGTTGGTCGAGGTGCCTGTTGGGATCTCGTCAATGTGTCCATGGAGAGCTGGTCAACATGTCCATGGAGGCGTGGTCAGTGTGTCCATGGAGAGCTGGTCAATGTGTCCATGGAGGTGTGGTCAGCGTGACTGTGGAGGTCTGGCCCATGTGTCCGTGGAGGTGTGGTCAGTGTGTCCATGGAGAGCTGGTCAACGTGTCCATGGAGATGTGGTCAGCGTGACTGTGGAGGTCTGGCCCATGTGTCCGTGGAGGTGTGGTCAGTGTGTCCATGGAGAGCTGGTCAACGTGTCCATGGAGATGTGGTCAGCGTGACTGTGGAGGTCTGATCCATGTGTCTGTGGAGGTGTGGTGAGTGCGTCCATGGAGGGCTGGTCAACCTTTCCATGGAGATGTGGTCAGTGTGTCCATGGAGGTCTGGCCCATGTGTCCATGGAGGTGCGGTTTATGTGTCCGTGGAGGTGCAGTCAACATGTCCATGGAGGTCTGGTCAATACATCTAACGACGTCCACTCCTTGTGCCCACAGCGGGTTGGTCACCACGTTGTCAGGGTCTACACCACAAAACCGTGGACATCTGGTCAACACCACGGCACGTGAGGTCAAGCCAAGGTGCAGGTGTCACAACCAGGTCCATGGAGGTCCCGTAAGTCCCCACCTCCATGGAGATGACATTAAACCATGCCAGGAAGAGCCGGAGGTCGGCCACTG